AAATATGGTCCTTATAAGGTATTTGTGAAGAATGAATGAGTTGATGCCTGGAAAGCAAGCACTGAGAACAGGGCTGGCAGTGTTGAAAGTGATTAATAAATGTCAACTATTATTACTACTGTAACATAATCATGAATATCAAGTTATTTCAGTTCTTATGTTAGGAAAAGCCAATTTTAAATCTGGATTTGTCTTATTCTTGCGGGTACTACATGGTTTTGTAGCTTCTGTCAGCAAAGGAACTTGCTGAAGTAGACTCTCCAAAATATCTTACAGGAATACTTCTCCACTACAGTACCTGGGAATATACCAATAGAAATGCTTTTAAGGAAGCCCTTTATTAAATGTTAATACTTTAGGAAGAGGGAATGTGGGTTTCAGCCATTAGCCACTCAGCAGGGATTAGTTTACCCCACTAGACAAGAAAGACAGGGCTGAAATGCAATGTTGGATAGGTGAGAAAACATGTTCTAGCTTAGAGAGTTGTCTGTTGCGGGTGGGGGTCTTAGATGCGATCTTCAGTGCCCCTTGGAAACTAGGGACCATTTCAGTATCAAGAGGGTAAAGGAAATTAATTGAAGAGGAGAGGGACATAGGAAGGAAGAGAAAATTGTTTACTTCACAGTACTGTTTAAAGTCAATCTTAAAAAAAAAAATAAAGTCAATCTTGTTAATAAAAAGAGTTGCTGAAATGGCTTAAATAAGGCTGCTGTCAAGTCTTATCTAAAAAATGGTAAGGTTACAAGCCCTAACATACTTCATATAAAATATTATGGATACTAATATAGAAGAAAAATTATATATGGTATATTTCATATACATATATATATAGATGTATATGTGTTAGGCTTCTCTGGTAGCTCAGATGGTAAAGAATCTGCCTGCAATGCAAGAGCCCCAGCTTCGATCCCTGGGTTGGGAAGATGCTCTGGAAAAGGGCATGGCAACCTACTCCTATTCTTGCCTGGGAAATCCCATGGAGAGAGCAGCCAGTTGGGCTACAGTCCATGGGGTTGCAAAGAGTCAGACATCACTGAGAGACTAACCCTTTCAAGCTTCACTTTCCTTTTCAAGATATGTATGTATCTCCCTTTTTGTCTGAAGTTAAATCTGACAATGCTCAGAATCCATGACTGTCTTAGGGGCTAATTTCTAGGTTGCAACTGCGTCTAGTGATGTGGGGGTCTTTGTCAAGTCACTGAATGTTTATGAAACTGCTGGTTGGGTTTATCCTAGAGAGAAATAGTTCAGTGGAGCTTTAGTGTGGAAATTGGCACAGGTAGCTGAAATGTTTTTTTAATTGCCACCAGGAAAAAGAGAGGGCCCAGAAGGATTCTTCAGCCCAAGGGAGCCCCTCCTTGGTTATAACCTAATTTGCTGTGCGCATGTGGACCAGATGGATGGAATTAAACCTTCTTGGGTGTCATGGTTAAATCGTTTTAAAATGTCTGGAGACTCCTGGAAATGTAAGAAGTCATATTTCTCTTTCAAAGGACCATCCTCTTGTGGTTCAAATGTGAGCTTTGAAACTGAAACCATAACTCCTGTGTCTATAGGGTGGCATCTCTACGTTTTCCTTCTTCCCCTATTGGGCTGTACTATATAGAAAGGTTGCAAAATTCTCAATTTATGTTTGTGTTTTGATAAAGCCAGCTCTGAGGTAGCTGGAGAGGGGACTGGAGGCTAGTTAATCTTTGAAGAAGGCCCCTGCTTTCTACAGATCTTCTGTCCTGAAGAACTGGTCATCCCAATCTTCTTGTTAAAATTGTTCAGAGCCTTTACACATCCGTCTGCCTGTGGTATTGTGGAAATAACCTATAGAAACATCACAGAAGTCTGCCTCAGTAAGTTGAAAGATGGTGGAGGAAAAAAATGTAGGCCAGAGGCAGGTATTATATGTAGGGTAAGAGAATACAGACCCGGGCTTAATTCCTGGTTTGGGAAGATCCCCTAGAGGAGGGAATGGCAACCCACTCTAGTATTCTTGCCTGGAGAATCCCATGGACAGAGGAGCCTGGTGGGCTACAGTCCATGGGATTACCAAGAGTCAGACACGACTGAGTGACTAACACTTTCACTTTTCAAGAGAATACAAAACATATATCTTAAATGAAATATGAAATACAAGAAATAAATATAAGCATCATCTGAAATTATTCCCTGAAGAAGCCAGCCCAAATTATCCACTGTAGGTACTGAATTGTCTGGAAGCTAAACACACTGCTGTGGTCAAAAGTGTTAAAAAGATAAGCCCTCTCAATCACTCTGGGCAATAAAACAGGGCATATCTACACCTGGAACACCATGTCTTGTTCTATATATTTAGCTTCAGGATAAGTCTAATGGAGTTGGAATCAGTCAAGAGGAGACCAGCTGAAATAATCAAGGTTAGAGTTTCCACATCCCTTCCATAAAGCTACTGTAAAGAATCTGTCTGCAATGCAGGAGACCTAAGTTCGATTCCTGGGTGAGGGAGATCCCCTGGAGAAGGAAATGGCAACCCACTCCAGTATTCTTGCCTGGAGAATCCCATGGACAGAGGAGCCTGGTAGGCTACATTCCATGGGGTCACAAGAGTTAGACATGACTTAGTGACTAAACCGCCACCACCAAAGAGTAGAAGGAGGATGTTATGGGTGAATCTTGTCCCCCTAAAATTCATATATTGAATTCATAACCTTCAGTACTTCTGAACCTGGCTGTATTTGGAGACAGGGTCTTTAAACAGGTAATTAAATTAAATGGGGTCATTAGGGTAGGTGCTAATCCAACAGGACTAGTATAAGGACTGGTGTCCTGGAAAGAAGAGATTGGGACACAAGACAGACACCAGACACCTGCGCACACAGACAGAAGACTATGGTAATACACAGGAAGATGGTCATCCACAAGCCAAGGTGAGAGGCTTCAGAAGAAACAAACCCTGCCAACGCCTCGATCTGTGATTTCCAGCCTCTGCAAGTGCTAGAAATAAATTTCTGTTGTTTAAGCTCCCTAGTCTGTGATATTTTGTATCGCAGCCCTAGCAAACTAGTATAGTTGAGAACAGATGTGATTGAATTATTTAAAATCATGAAAGGTCAAGAAAAGGTGATTATCTCAGGATACTTCTCGGTCAGAGTTTCTTAAAGCAAGATCTGCCTACTCTGCCTGCATTAGAACCACCTTTGGTTTTTGGTTTTTTGTTTTAAAGCAGGTTCTCCAGCTCCGCTGAACCTAGAGTATGAAAATTTTTCTGATATGAGGTTCAAGAATCTTTTTGGTAGGCACCATAAGTGATGTTTCTGCACACTAAAGTTTGACACCTGCTGTGAAAGGTCCTCCCCAACCTCTGGCCCTTTTCTGGGCATGACTGATTGATACTAATTACATCTCAGCAAGTGCTGGTGTATCTGGAGCTCTGGCAGATGCTCCGTAATCCAAAAACCAGGTACAGATCACATTGTAGGTTATGTCTCCCCAGGTGTCAGCCAGCATTTTCCAGCCTGTGGGGAATGCTGAATGGGATGGATCTAATGTAATCTTAGGGGAGTTTACTCTTGATTCTCAGAAGAAATATGTGTCTCACCTATCTTACCCACTTAGTAATACTATGACATATTTTAAACAATGAATAAACAGTACGTATATTATTTTTCTCATGAGATTTACTTTAAGATGCTATTACCTTGGCACCTAAATTCTCAAAGGAAACATTGATACAAAGAATAGAATGGTCATAATTAACTTGTCTATTGCTATTCATCACTTGAACTTATACAGAAAGATATCAGACATGGCCTGTGCCTTTTTATGCCCTGTAAAGTTAGAATATAATATTGGTGAAATAAACAACATCTATAAATAAAAACAAATTAATAATAATTGGAAAGAAATCTAATCAACTATTCCAGCCAGGCCCTGTGCTTTCATATTTTCTCATTACCCAAGGGAATAGGAAATAATCTTTCACATGTCCCTAAGGTGAATTTTCTTCCCTTCACCTGTGAGCCAAAGAGGAGCTGAAGGACTGAAAGAACGAAAGAGGCCATTGAGAGTTCAAAGCAAACACAGCGATAAACATTTTGTAGGAAGAGTAAGTGGCATTCTGATTTAAATACGGCAGTTCACCAGGAGCAGGAAAAAAAAAAGTGCCCCCCTCCTCAATTTACAAATGTGATTAAGGGATATAACAAGATTTTATACTTTAAAAAAAAAAATAACGAAAATTAGTAGGCCATATGTGGAGAAGGAAATTGCAACCGACTCCTGTATTCTTGCCTAGAGACTTCGGTAGACAGAGGAGCCTGGTGGGCTGCTGTCCATAGGGTCGCACAGAGTCGGACATGACTGAAGTGACTTAGCATGCATGCATGCATTGGAGGAGGAAGTGGCAACACGCTCCAGTATTCTTGCCTGGAGAATCCCAGGGACCGAGGAGCCTGGTGGGCTGCCATCTTTGGTCGCACAGAGTCGGACAAGATTGAAGCGATTTAGCAGCAGCAGCAACAGTAGGCCATATGACAATGTGTAGGTGGGAAGGTCGTTGGGCTCTCTCTCTATTTTTCTTCTGGTGGTCCAGCCTTTGCAACTACAGTATCTTGGAAATGACCCAGCTCTGTCCAGGGGTACCTATGGACACGAATTTTTGAGCACTCGTTCAATGACAGTCACCACCTACCTGCTTTTCCCTCCTTGACTAACCAAATTTTAGTGTCTCTGTGTAGACCACTCATTCCCACTGGATTCTTTTGGGGGGGGTGGGGTGGTAGGGGGTAGGAGGATGGATGGGACATTGGAACTGTCATTAATGGTCCATGTGCTTTCCAGGAACAAGAGTTCTGGCACTTAACATGAATTGATTTTAAACTCTAGACCTTAATCCTCTGGAGAGAGTCAGAAGAAAAGCCGTGAGAGCAGCTGGGTTTCATTAGGAAAGAAAAGAGGGCATTCAGTCTTCGAGGAGGGCAGTTTCCCAATCTGGGCAGTGATCGGGTTTGTCAAGAAGAGAGAGAGAGCCCTCACAATGAAAAACCACTGTTTCGGCAGAAAAGCGGTTCTAAATCTGGACCAAATCCTTCTCGTGTGGTGGAAGGGCTGGAGCTCGTTACTAGATCTTTTCGAGCGGCCCTCTTCCTCGGTCCCGGGCTGAGCCAGGTCCCGGCCTCGGGACCGGGCGGGCCCCAAGGGCCTCGACCCACGGACAGCGGGATCCCTGGCGGCGGCGGCGGCGGCGGCGGCGGCGCGAGCGGGCGGGCGGACGACGGCCGCCGCGCCTTCATTAGAGGGCGCTCTGGGGGCGGCTCTGCAGCAGTGCCGACTCCCGCCGCTTCCTCCCCGCCGCCCCTCCCCGCCAGCCCCGGCGAAACGCGGCCGGGCCCCGGGGACCGAGTATCGGCGCCGCCGGGGGCCGGGTGCGGGCCGCGCCGCTCCTCCTTCCGCCGGCCATGCAGTCTTCCGGCTCCTCTGGCTCCCGCAGCCCCGGCCGGGGCCGGGCCGGCCCGAGGTGAGTCCGGGCTTGGCGGGCGCAGGCCCCGCGGCTGCCGCAAGCTGGGCCCCGGGGAGGCGCTGTGGGGTGGGTGGGGGGGAGGCGGGGAACGGGTGTCGTCGCGTGGCCCGGGGAGGAGGCGGCGGCGGCGGCGGCATGAGGGACGAGGGCGCGGTAGGCCCCAAGGAGGAGGCGGGGGCGCGGGGCATCCGCCCGCCTCCCTGGGACCCGCCCCGGTGACAGGTCCGGCCTCTGAGTCCCCGCCGTCCCCTCTGTCCGCAGGCAGCCGCGAGGGGAGTAGGGCGCCCTCGCGGCCGCTCGCGCCGCACCTCGGCCGCCGCCGCCGCGTCCATGACCGCGACCCACCGGCCGAGGACACCCGCCGCCGCCGCCGCCGACCCCCGGCCCCGCCGGTCCCCGCGCTGTACCGCCCGCCGCCCGAGCCAGCTGAGGTGAGCCCGGCCGCGACCCTTCCCACACCTCGGACCCCGCGGCCGGCCCCAGCCGCCCCCCTGACTGAAGCGCCGCGGTCGCCTCTTCCCGCTCCTTTCATCATCCCCGTCTCCCCTGCGCTCCGGCCGCGGACGGGGCTCGTCATCCCGGGCTCTGAGCCTCCAGCAGCCGCCGCCGCCGCCGCTCCCCTCCCCCTACTCCCGTTCTTCCTCCTTTTCGCCTTATTATCGCCCACTTTCTTCCTCTCACCAGCTCACCCTTTTGCCCGCTTTCCTGCCCCCCCTCCTTTCCCCCTACCCTCCTCCACACACCTAAGAAGAAAGGAACGCCAGACCAGATTTGCGGCAAATGAACCATTTTAGCGTTAACTTTTTTTTTTTTGCCCCCCGCGAATGCGAGAGACCGTTTTAAAGGATGAATCAGTGCGGAAGGGTGGTGGTGAGGGTGCCGATGTGCATCGAGAGGTGCCCGCCTCAGCCTTCTCTTCACTCCTGTCAGTTAGGGAGCTGCCGAAGGCGTGTGAGGCAGGTCGCTGTGCTTCTTCCTCAAAGTCCAACGGAAGACTGCAGTGACACGCGGTTGCGGGCCGGCCGCTGAGGAGTTGGTGGGAGTAGTGTTATCATTTGCTAAATATATTATGACATAGCCTGTGCCTCCGTGAACAGCTCCCTTGACCTTGTGGGGCTCCTCCTCCGCCGGCTGTCCGTCCCCCTCTGGAATTTCCCGGACGGATCGCTGAGGTACTACAGCGCGGGGGAAAGGCTCTAGATCCTCGATTTTCTTTTTTTTCTTTTCTTTCTTTCTTTTTTTTTTTTCCATTTGTTTTTGTGCCGGAGGTGATTTCTTTATTAGTGGCTGTCTAGATGTGTTCACTCCGTTTTCCTTTCTAAATGAATTTTCTTTTCACCTCAGCAAGACGGGAGAGACTTCGATGTGAGAATGGCTGTGACTCTGGAAGAAGCTCCGTGGCTGGGCTGGATCTTGGTGAAAGCCCTGATGAGGTTTGCCTTCATGGTCGCCAACAACCTGGTTGCGATTCCATCCTACGTCTGCTATATAATCGTGCTTCTGCCCCTTCGACTGCTGGACAGCAAGCGGTTCTGGTACCTTGAAGGAATGATGTACAAATGGCTTTTAGGAATGGTGGCTTCTTGGGGATGGTATGCTGGATATACAGGTAAGAGCATGAGCAGTTTTTAAAATGCATATTTAAAAATGTGTAATGTTTGCCTTAAATCAGGAGCCATGTTTTAAATGTATATTACACTTCAAGTGGAAGATGCTTTGACTGTTGTAAACACAGAGAACAATTCTATTGAGTTTTTTTTTAAAGAATCCTAATTGAGAAAGGATGATATTTTCAGAAGTATAATTTCATAATTATATATTGATAAATTCCTTAAGTAATGGCTTTTAATGATTGACATGTACTAAAACCCATCAGTGTAAGCTGTCCTAGAAGAGTAGGAGTGAGTTTTATAGGACTTCAGAAGTTATAAAATGAAGAGGTACGATGTTTAGCTCATAATCATTGGGCATTAAGAAAAAGTACTGAGCCATATTTGTGCTAAGATAGTTTAATAAAAGTTGTTTCATTTAATGGTGTGTTGTACTTGTGTTCACATTTGAAGCCAAGCAAAGGGTGGCTTTTTTTCTGTTATGTATGTTTCCTTTGTTTACTAGAATCTATATCTTATCTGATAATTCTATATTAGAATATTAAATATAAGAAATTAAGTTTTATCCCTGTTAAGCTAATGTAGCTTCAGAGTGTCTTTTAATAGATTTTTATTTCTGCAAGAGTAACGCTATTCTAAAGAGAACTTTTAAAGAACTGAATGAGAAGCAGTGTTTATTTTCTGCTCATAAGCCTTATGTACTTTGAGAACTTGTGCCCCAGTTGTAAAAATTGTGTACTATTATATTTATTTGACATTTCCCCTCTAAAAAGTAGGATAACGAAAAAAGCATTGAGGTTTCTGGCCCTTGTCTTGGACATTGAGGCTTTATCATAGAATTTTATAACTGATAAGCTCCTTAGAGATAGTGCCACAGATGCTGCGGTCGGTGGAGTCTGTAGCTCCTATCTTGGAAGAGTGAGCAGGGTACTTTCAGGGTTGAACAGCATCGCAGATGCCCACTTAAAATTTTCTGTCTCCCTCTTTCCTGCCCAGGCGACATCTGCAGATTTTATGTACACAGACAAGGACACTGACAGCACACAGCCTTTATGGAGTCTGACTGTCTCTTGCTAGGTTAGAGTGCTCTTAGTTGCCCCAGATGAAGCCTTTTCTCCTTCTGGCAATGCCATTTATTATTCTGCAAGACCCAAGCCCTGGGGATAGTATACGCATTGCTTCTTTGCTATGTGTCTTGTTGAGATTCCAGTGGTCTTTAGATATGGTAGGTGAACTTCCGGTCCTCTCTGGGGGGACTTGGTGGTACCAGGAGAGAAAAGAAAACAAAGTAAAAATGAAGTTTTTGTCTATGGTGCTGAATTTTTACCTGTGCTGCACTGCTGTCATAGAATCGCTTTGCTCTGTGGAGTCTGAGCTTCCCCCGATATGCTATGCGGTACTAGTGGTTTGTTCTTTGCACAGTATACTTAAGTTTGCTTGTTTTAAATGAGCTCATAGTATTTCTAGATATAAGTTCTAGAAGTTCATTCTACTTAAAAATAGTGAAATTATTGAAACATTTGAGCCTGTGTGTGTGTTTGTGGAATATTTGTGTGTAAGTGTTAGCATGATCAGAAGCTGGAAAAAAATAATTTGGCACTGACCTTGAGATTGTAAGGAGTCCAGTGGTGCTGACTGAAGTTAAAGTTAATTATGCTATGGCTACAGCAAGGCTGCAGTATATTTTTAAGCATATTTAAGCATATTTTTTAAGCATATATTTTCTTTCTCTTCCTTGCTGCCTATAAAACCATGCAGTTTCTTTGGCCACCTGCTTGGAAGGTGGTCTTGGCATGCTCTGCATATTTTAGTCTCTCTGAAGCATCTGTTTTCCTTCAAGGTACTGCTTTTTGACTATTTGATTGGTTTGTCTCATTTAAATATAGAATATCTTGATGTGCATTTTAAATAGTCTTCCTATAGGTAGACTACTTCTCAAGAGTCTGGTCATAACAGAACACAGACAAGGTCAAACAAATGTAGAAATGACTTTTGTTGAAAGCCACACCTGGGTCTAAAGAAGCAAACATAAGCAGGGGTTGATGAGCAGATATACCCACAAGGAGGTTGTGTTGGGCTTTGTTTGGATTATATGTTTCATTTCTTACCTTTGAATCAAGGAGAGGGTGGGCCTGCGTTTTTTTCCCCCCTTCCCCTTTCCCTGTTTTTAAGTTTCACACATGGAAAATTGAGCATTGCCAAAGCAATGCTGCTCAGCATATCTAGTATGTTTATGTTTTAGAATAAAAATTGCCAGACTTTGTTGAAAAACCACTTCTAAGGAAACCTGAAATGTTAATTAGCCAACTATTAACTAGGAAACTGAAAATTGAATATTGGTATGAGCGACTGAACTGAACTGAACTGATAGAATATCAAATTTTCATGTTGTGACATTCAGTCTAAGGTAAGTGAATTACTCAGCTTTGTTGCTGAAGACTTATGTGGATTATGTAATCTGCACTGCCCCATATAGTAGCTGCCAGCCATATTTGACTATTTAAATTAATTAAAATGAAATAAATTTAAAACTCAGTTTCTCATTCACACCAACCACATTCCAAGTGCTCAGTACTAGGTAGCTAGTGACTACTGTAGTAGACAGTGGAGATAATACAACATTGCCATCATCACAGGAAGTTCTATTGAATAGAGCTGATAAAGAGTAGGTGTGACTTTTTCCTATTTCTTAGAAAAAGTGCATTTTATCTTTATAAAAGAATGTTTTTCTCAACATAATTCTAAACATTTCTTTTGGGGAAGACAAAGATTTATTAAAGTTTTATAGCATTGTCCTTTAATTTGAGGCAAATATCACACAAAAAATGAGCCCTTTAAACTCAAACACACTTCTTGGATAGAGAACGGTGAGACTAGTTAAGTCTAAGAGCTTAACTAGATGTCCTTGTGCTTGATTTGTTTTTTCAGAGCTGGAGTACTATCTGTGGACCCAGAAGAGGGAAAAGGATTTTCTGGTCTCTCTGCCCATTTCTGATTTTACATTTTATGTTCAGGGGAACACATTTCTTGAAAGAACTCTGAGGACACTGGGGTTTCTTCATCTCTAGTTTGCTACTAGGTAGTGATGATTGTTGTGATCACATTTCTTTCAATGGCAAGTGCTGTCCAAGCCTCTCATGTTGAGGGAAAGTTGTATACTGCCTTGCTCTCTTATTTCAAAAGCAAACCAAAAGACCTACTCTTTAATGATTAACAGCTACCTGCTTTATTCAGAGCCAGGATAAATCAGCATACTCCCTCGTCTTCAGTTTAAGTGAAGATTGGCAAATCTCAATGAGATATTCCTTTGAAATAATGTTTATTTAAAATAGATTATTATGATTTTCATTCTCTTAATAAATACATGGTTCCCCACCCAAACACATCAATTAAAGCCTCTTACACAAAATCCTTTAAAAAATATTCACTGTAATTAGAAGCTCCAAAATTTCTTATGCAGGATGAGGGGAGTCTTTTGGGCCACAGTCTGGCTGGAAGAGAGCGAGGTGCCAGGGGACTTAGCACCAAGTTATCTTTGCTTTGCAATCCTCGTTTCCCTTGGATTGGGTATTTACTTGGATGGCTGATGGGGATTAGGTTTAGCTTCCTCCCACTCCCCAGGGGACAGCTGTCATGGCTCCATGTTAGTCTTTGGGGGGCTGTTTGATTATTTGATAGTGTTTTACATTTTTTTGCTGGGATATTCATTGTGTGAGGAAAATTATTTATTATGAATTTTGTCTGCCTGACATTTAAGTTTTAATCTAGTGTAGGATTTTTCCACCTTTGAGCCGTAAACCTATTTAATGTGTCAGGACGAACATTAAAAAAAAGACGTGAAATAGAAAAGACCATAAGTATGTGTATTTGTACTGGGTGGGTGGCTGTTGTTAGTCACTCAGTCATGTCCAACTTTTTGTGACCC